CTGGGGGTTGATCCAGTGGCTCAAGCCTTAGGTTGTATGGTTAGGTCAAGCTGAGGGAAGTTTTGTACCTCCAAGGTGACAGGCATAATTTATGTCATTAAACTGACATCTGCTTACTCAGATTTGGAGTTTGCTGGCAAGAGTATCATTCGAACAGAGTAAATCTGGTTCTGGTGGAAAAACATTTGAACTCTATGCCTAAATTTACTTTAAGTTTAGTCTACTGATGTGTCTTCTGTTTTTTGAAATTAGTTTAGACTTACAGAAAAGGTGAAAAAACAGTACATAGAGTTACTAAAATATGGTTTGTCCAGCTTCCCCTAATGTTATGCAACCATAGTTCAATTATCAGAACCAGGAAATTGTCATTGAAACAATACGATTAGCTAATCTATACATTTCCTTTGAATTACATTATTTTTTCCACCAGTCCTTTTGCTGGTTCGGGATCTAGGCCAGGATCCATTGCATTTAGTTGTCATATCTCCTTATTCTCCTCCAGCCTGTGACAGCATCTTATTCTTTTCTTTGTTCTTTGTGGCCCAACACTTAAAGAGTAACTGGCTATTTCTTTTGTAGAATAGTCCTCAATTTAAATTTGTCTGCTTTCTTGTGATTAGATTGAGGTTATCCATTTTTGACAGGAATATCATAGAATACTATTTTAACATTGTCAGCATTATCCTATCAGGGGTATATGTGACCAGTATTACTTGTTCCTGATGCTGCTAACTTTGATCATATGGCCAAGGTAGTTTCTTCCAGGTTTCTCCCCTGTAAAGTTATTATTTTTGTCTTTGTAATTAACAAATAAATATCTTGCTGGGTGAATACTTTGAGATTAGGCAGGTACCTTGTTTCTTATCATACATCTGTCTACTCATTTTAGCATCCATTGGTAATTTTTACTTGTAATCATTATTACTTTGCTGTTTACCTAATGATGATTTTCTAGTTTCATCATTCCTTATGTGTTTTTGAATCATAATTTTACTGTAATGAGGAGCTGACCCTTTCCTTCCATCTTCTAATTTATTTAATCATTTATATCAGTATGGATTCATAGATATTTATTTTATCAATTATAACCTATTATTTATTTGGCTATTGAGAGTTCCTATAAGTTGGCTTCTGAGTTTTTCTCTCATTCCTTTATCACTTATGAGCACTTCCTTATCTTTTGGTACCACAATGATATTCTAGGCTCAACTTTTGTTTTTATTGTTTCAGCCCTTCAAACAACTGTTTGTCTAGGGAATCCTGGTTCCCTTTATTGGATAATGATATTTAGAAACCAAGATCCCTGGGCTAAGTGTGCTCATTACTACTGGGGTTATCTTTGTCTGTTGCCTCTTTCAGTGGGTGGAGTTACGAAATATATGTATGTATACTCACAAATGCATATACACATTTGTTTCTGTATATTATGTATGTGTGTACATATTAAAATCCATGAGGAAATACTAATACTTCAATTCCCATTGAACATCACAGGCATTTTTTTTCTTTTCTTTTGAGAGGGAGTCTTGCTCTGTTGCCCAGGCTGAAGTGCAGTGGCACAATCTTGACTCACTGCAACTTCTGCCTCCTGGGTTCAAGCAATTCTCCTGTCTCAGCCTCCTGAGTAGCTGGGATTACAGGTACATGCCACCATGCCCAGCTAACTTTTTATATTTTTGGTAGAGACGGCGTTTCATCTTGTTGGCCAAGCTGTTTTCAAACTCCTGACCTCAAGTGATCTGCCTGCCTCGGCCTCCCAAAGGGCTAGGATTATAGGTGTGAGCCACCACGCCTGGCCTATCTGGGTATTTCTTGTGAGAGTTCTCATAATCATTTACAACTGAAATAAATGTTCTCATTGGCTTGGAAATCATCTAATATTAAAATTCTCCCCATCCTTAACATTTTAATCTCCATATTCCTGATGAGAAAAGTCTTTAACCCCCTCACCCTGGTTTCCAATTGACAAAATCTTCTCCTCTACCTAAACTTCATCTCCAGCAGATATAAGAAGTATATTTCCTAAGACAGCAATCATTTCATAATGATTTCGCGGGGCTGTCCAGCACATCTTGGTGGGTACTTATGCTGCTTCAATTCTCAGAAGGAGGAAGAATGCCCTGTATTAGGATTGCAAGTTATAGCCACTCTGAAGTGGTCCAGGTTTTTCCACATTTTAGTGATCAGATGTCTCTCCATCTTTAGATCAAAAATGTAACTCATGTGCTCCTGCAGTTCACACCGGGGCATAGTGGATAAGTTACTTCCCCCTCCCAGAAGAGTGTATAAATGTGTTTAGAATATCTCACTCCTTCAGAACTCTGAATATGATGATATCTGAGCCTTCTTATAATCACAATTTCTTAGTGACTTTCCAGTCTTTGAGCTGGATAGTATGTAATGAAATGGCATACAAAAACTCTATTCACAGGCAGTGGTGACTGAGTATGTGAAAGACCTTGTATAGGAGGCAGGGAACTACCTCAAGGACATCTGATACCCCATGAGTCATCTGATATATATATATATATATATATATATATATATATATACACACACACACACACATACATATATATATGTATATTTGGGCAGAAACAAGGTCTTGCTCTCTTGCGCAGAGGGCTGGAGTGCAGTGGTATGACCAAAGCTCACTGCAACCTTGAACTCCTGAGCTTAAGTGATTCTCCTGCCTCAGCCATCTGAGTAGCTGGGACTATAGACACAACTCATTCCACCTGACTAATTTTCTTTTAGTTTTTGTGGAGACAAGGTCTTGGTATGTTGTCTACGCTTCTACTGATTTTGACCTAAAACACATCTGTGTCTCAAAGATCTGGCACTGCTCTTTGGGAAAAGCTCAAGAAGCATTACAGTTGTATTCCCAGAGACATGTATTAGACATGTATTTCTGAGTTTGCCCCCTCAGCATGGTACAGGGTAGGGTTTCAAATATGGCTTTTAAAGAGTAGAAGAGGTAGAATGATCAAAGTAATAGTATAAAGTGGGCTTTGTCTTTGACAGACATTATGTACCTCTTAGGTGGCAGGCACTGTGTTTGGTAGGTGACGGTTTAGAAAGGGAAGAAGAAACTAAAGGGAGGTTTCAGGGTTAGAATCTTATAATTCAGAAGTGAATTGAATGGAGCCAAGACTGAGGGCTTCAATATTGGAGAGATGTGAGTTATAATTTCTAGCAATGAGAAGGAATAAGGAAGGGGACATTTTTGAGAAGTAGAATTTAGAAAAGAAGCAAATGAAGATAACTCATATTTCTAGACCTGAGAAGGTCATCATTGGTTTCTAACATAGAGTGGTGGGAAGCTACTGAGTCAGAACTTTTATTTAATCAATAAGTAAAGCAGAATCAAAACCTACTTTTCCAATAAGCTTCCCTTGATTAATACTACGTTACTATAGTGTGTAGAATTAAGTTTCCACTCAGCCCCTAGAAATCATTAACACATTTTATATTATTTTTTGGTATCACATTTCTTTGTGAATTTATGTAATTTTTAGCTTGTGGTTGTTTATTCTATACCTGCATCACATGGATCTATTGCTATATCTTCTCCTTCTCCTGCATACAAAGCCTTGTACCTTGCTGTGAGTACAATAGTTGAATGAACACTTGTGACGTGAGTGTTGAATGGAGCCTGGAACCATTCACTAGTTCTTACCATTGAAAGTCAGCAATGAGACCCAAAGCTGATTCATAGTTAAAAATCTGATTTTCTTATTCAGTAATGCAGAGTTTTACCAGAAGTGTGATTAAGAACCAGTCTTTTGAAATGTCACCAAAATAAAATTCTTGACGGATACAACACTACTAGGTATATCATTAAAATATATTCTTAATAGAATAAACGCCTAGAATCAGAACACTGGTTGAAAACATAGGAGCTTTACGGGGGTAGTAAATTTGGAGCTAGTCACATTTTAAATTTGCCATCAGTGGTTCTTTGTTGAATCCAGAAGACAGAGCAAATTGAGCTGATAGTGCAAGTTAGCAACATAGTTTTATACAAGATTCTGGAATTGTAGGGTTTTTAAGTGAGGAGAGCTTTAGAATACAAACTTCTTAAATGTCTACTTTTGCCATAAAATCACTGCATCCTCTTACAAAGACTTATGAGTGCCGTGGATGAAGATTTGTTGACAGTAAACTTGTTTGTTCTTCTCTCTTATTTCTTTACCAGGTGAAAACTTTATGTGGAAATATATTGGGTCCTATTTTTAAGTGGTCTAAATAGCTGTGTTTGAATTTATTTTTATCATGTAGCCAGAGATGCTAAACCATCGAAATGGGATTTATGCCCCTTGCCACAAAGCATACAGCATTGTATTTTAAATGACTTCCTATAAACAACAAGGGTTTTGTCTTGTCCCTCAAAAGTTTTATGGTAGACATTCTTTAGAACAATATTCTTTTCTGCTTGTTATGAAATCCATCCCCACAGCAGGGCTTGCTGTTGTTTGACTGTTACTGAGGTCACCTCTTAGCTTGAGGGAACGTGATTTGTTCTTCAGAGCAAGTGGGAAAACTGACTGACTTGTGTGATGTACTCAAGTCTATTTTGAATAATGGAGTTGGACTATGGGAAGTCTTGTCTTAGTATGAAAACCTTGTCTGTTTCTATTTGCTTCTTGCTTACGTGAAAATTTCTAGCAGGGAGGTTGGAGCATCTTACCTGCTGAACTGGATTGAGGGGCAGGAGATCATCATTTGATGTTCTCTGGAATCTTGAAGGTGTGAGATAGTCCTTCTGGGGCCCTAGTTCTCCTTCAGCTAGAGTAGTTGATATCATGTGATGTGACCCTTATGAACCCTTCAGAGGTATTCAGAGAATAAGTAACAAGGTCAGATCTTGTCCTAGAGCGTTTCTGATACAAACCATGAAACCATTCTCCCTGCACCTTACCCTCTGCCTGTCAACATGAGGCTTCATGGTGTTCTGTGCCTCTGATGGTTGTTTCTGTCCCTCCTTCTTCCTGTTGCAGACATGCCTTGAATTGGAACGCTACCTACAAACGGAGCCCAGGAGGATCTCGGAGACCTTTGGTGAGGACTTGGACTGTTTCCTCCACGCTTCTCCTCCCCCGTGCATTGAGGAAAGCTTCCGTCGCTTAGACCCCCTGCTGCTCCCTGTGGAAGCCGCCATCTGTGAGAAGAGCTCGGCAGTGGACATCTTGCTCTCTCGGGACAAGTTGCTATCTGAGACTTGCCTCAGCCTCCAGCCAGCCAGCTCTTCTCTAGACAGCTACACAGCCGTCAACCAGGCCCAGCTCAACGCAGTGACCTCATTAACGCCCCCGTCATCCCCTGAGCTCAGCCGCCATCTGGTCAAAACCTCACAAACTCTCTCTGCCGTGGATGGCACGGTGACGTTGAAACTAGTGGCCAAGAAGGCTGCTCTCAGCTCTGTAAAGGTGGGAGGGGTCGCAACAGCTGCAGCAGCCGTGACAGCTGCGGGGGCCGTTAAGAGTGGACAGAGCGACAGTGACCAAGGAGGGCTAGGGGCTGAAGCGTGTCCTGAAAACAAGAAGAGAGTTCACCGCTGTCAGTTTAACGGGTGCCGGAAAGTTTATACAAAAAGCTCCCACTTAAAGGCCCACCAGAGGACTCACACAGGTAGTGGTACAAGTTTGGCCGCACGTGGTTTCTTCTCCTTTCCCCTCCTGTAGCCTCTTCATGGGGGAGGGCTCCTCTTTGTTCTGAGGAGTGGCACCCCTGCTGATGAGGAAGTGATAGACAGGCGGGAGGGCCCAGGTAGGGACAAAGAATGACTCACTTGTTACCTTAAGATCTCAAGATGTCCCAAGCATAGGACACAGGTTTGTCCCTACAGTGCCAACCACAGCATAGAATCACACAGTTCTGAGGGTGGCTGAAGGGGGCTCTGGCAGTGACTCCCAGCTGCCCGTGACACAGACACATGTCGCTTTGCTGACACTGCATTGTTTAGCAAGTGTAGCTCCACAGTTTTGATCAACACTGGGATCTGAGGATGCATTTGAAAGCATTCACAGTTAAACAAGGTAGCTAGGGTGTCCCTATTCACTCTTTTCCCAGCATCCTGATTTTTCATCAAAGTCACCAACAGCAGGAGAGTTTCAGAGTTCATTAGATGTGATCATTCTATAATTAATTGGCATCTCCTCTTTTGCATTGTTCTCTGGCACGTGCTTTATGGAGAGATGGCAGAATTGCTTTTTAATGAGCTTGTTACTGAGAAGTTGCTAAAGTGATTACGTTACTATGTGTGTGGTAAGAACGGGTGGGGGAGGGATGAGGATTGTGTATTTTACTCAGGGCCTCCTCATAGCCCAGGAAGAGAAACCACCTCTAAGCTCCAATCATACTGATCTTTTGAGCAATGGGATAATTTGGAAGAGTGGGGTTTACACAGAAAAGAGTGAGATTCATTTTTCTTGGAATTGGTCTTTGTTCTCTGCTTTGACATTGGAGCTTAGGGGTGGTGCCTCTTCCTGGGCTACTAGGATGCTAGTAGCAATTACTGTGATTGGTGGTTTTTAAGTGAACCTCTAACAGTATGTTACCTGTGTGGTTCTTGCATAGTTTGCATACTGCTAGCTGAATAGGGAGCATCCCCAAAGGTGTAAGTGGAGGTAAAAACGGGTGATAGCGTATGAGCTAGGAAAAGTGTTTTAGTGCTCTGTGGGGCTTTGTGGGCAGTGCCACCAAAGAAGTGTGCCGGGAGAGATTGTTGGCTAGAAAATTAGAACAAACTGGGCTTTAGTTCTAACTCTGCCGCTAACCAGCTGTGTGGCCCTGAGCCTGTTCCTTTACCTCACCAGGCCTCATTTTCCAAATCTGCTGAACAATCTGGCTCTTAAGGCGCCTTTCAATTCTAAGGTTCTGGAGGTCCATGAACTGTTTTTGTTCAGTAGAGAAGAACTTTCCTGAAGTTCACGTGCATAATATGTGATAGAGGAAATCACTGTTTTGAACCTCAGAGTTATTCCGATGGAAGGTTGAGGACTGACATTACTTCTTTTACGCCAGGACTTGGGCCTGTATACCTCTAATTCTGAACTCAATTTCCAGTGTGACTCTTGCTTGGTTCATGGGACAGTCTCCTAATCTAATGTATCCTGTGGCTTAGGCATAGAGTCTCACTCATGGGTTCCCATCAGAATTTAGGTTCCAGTTCACCACCCCACATTCACCAAGGCTAATGCTTCATGCTATTATCAGTTTTTGCTTCTTTGATATTGTCATGAAGGTAGTTTTTATTTGTGTTTCTTTCTTTCTAAAGTCAATGAGTAAAGTAATGGCGAGACATTGGAAAGACATTGCAGTGCTCCCAGACTGGAGTGCATGACTCATCTCCTGGCCCCTCCAGGAAACCAGAGAAGGCAGGAAAGGGCAAGAATGTTGCGTCGTACTGGGGCTATGGAATTCATAATTAGGGATGCTTTCTGAACTATTGACACTAAAGGCACATCCTGCTTAGCATGGAGCTGGACAGCTCTGGAAAAGCAGAGATTCTTTTTAGGGAGGCCAGAGCATTTTCTTCTTGTTTCTTATCCCCTTTCCAACAGAGATGTCAGAAGGGTGACTGTTATGGTTGATGCATTATTTGGTGCTTTGTTTTTTTGAGCATTGTCTACTCAGAGTGATTACCAAGGTGGAGCTCATTATGTTACCTGGCACCTGCAACTCCTTGTCTTATGTTGGACTGAAGTGGGAAGACTCCTATAGGGAATTCACTCAGCGAGGCACCATGCATTGTTAGAAAAGCAGTATTGCAGAGCAGTTAAGAGCTGAGCTTTGTGATCAGGTGGACTTTGGTTTATGTCCTAGCACTATCATTTCCTAGATTTATGACCTCAGTTTCCTCATTTGTAAAATAGAGACAATTATGTCTACCTTCTAGATTGTTTTGGATATTAAATGTTTTGAATATTAACCTGTAAAACACTTCTAAAAAAACTAAATACCTGATAGATAGTAAGAACACATTACAGATAGTACTGGGGTTGATTGTAGTTATTACTACGGTTGTTGATTTTAATTAGTGATGACTGAGTGAAAAAACAGCCTTGTAAACTACAAACAAGCCAGTTAGCCAAAGTTAAATACCACAAAACAGCAAGAAGCTTTTTCCCTCTCATTCCCAGTGTTTGATTAATGGGATGTGGGGTGATGACACCTGTGAACACAGGTTGTGGAGGATAAACTAGACATACAGGCATTAGCCCATGGAAGTTGGCAATCAGGCAGAAAGGTCACGGCTTTCCTCCCACAACACCTTGCATTGCAGAAGCATTTTACCTGTAAAACCTTCCTCAGAGACATGCATGGAAGAGAAGGGAGGTGCTATAAGAAAGAGAAACAGATAAAAGGGGAGGTAGAAACAGGAATGGAGGATGGGGAGAAGTAATATGAATTAATTTGGATGAAATGGATGAGAATCGGAAGAATTTATTTGCAAGTGGTGTGAATTGGAGCACATGGGGAACTGAAAACAAAGGTGTTAATTTATGTGGTGTAGGTGAACTAAGAATAATGAAAAAAGCATGAAGGATGGAATCAAATTAAGTGCAAACATAGAAAGGAAATGGATGGTAAAAGCTCGAGGGCAAAGGTATATGGAGATGGGAATTCAGGTTGGAAAGAAGCTGCTGATAATAAAGACTGGAGTTGGGAGAGCTGCTGACCAAATGGGGAAATGAAGATTTTTTTAAAATGGGCTCTGGATGGATTCAGGCAAGCTATTTTAACACAGGACTCACTTTAATTCAGTCAAAATATTTCTTATCTTTCAGCTGGGGAGGTGTTTTGGGACAGGAAAAAAAGGGAGATAAGAATACCAATCCAGAGGAAGAAGAGAAATATTTGCATTTTGTTCTCTAGAGTTGCAGATATATGCTATATCTCTTCTATATGGTAATGTGTTGCAAAGGAGATATAGTGAAGAAATGAAGTAAAATAAAATGTGTTTGTCTCCCTCTTAAATGCATAAAGGAAGACAGTACATATTGGTAACATGGATTTGTTTGCACTGAGGAATTTTTAAGGTATATTCGTTTAATCTTTATATAGATAGAATTTACTGAGCTGAAAAAGATATGCATTTTTTTTCCTTCTGTGGCTGTTTTTTGAGAATGCTGAATCCTTCAAAATTTTTGCCCTGTAGGATATTAGGCAATGAGGTGATTTTTTTATTTATTATTTTTTAAGGTAGCAGATGTTCAAGTTGGTAGCTAGGGCACAAACATGGTTTGCTCAAGGAAGGAAAGTTATAGATGGGAGTACTGAGCTGGAGGTGGAGGATGATGAGGCATGGCATGGGACAAAGGGAAGATTATGAAGTAGCAGGATTTAGTGAAAGGAAAGTGTATAAAAATGGACATATGGGCTGGGTGCGGTAGTTCACACCTGTAATCCTAGCACTTTGGGAGGCCAAGGCAGGTGGATCACCTGAGATCAGGAGTTCAAGACCAGCCTGGCCAACATAGTGAATCTCCATCTATACTAAAAATAAAAAAATCGGCTGGGTGTGGTGGCACACACCATTAGTCCCAGCTACTTGGGAGGCTGAAGCAGGAGAATCTCTTGAACCCAGGAGGTAGAGGTTGCAATGAGCTAAGATTGCACCACTGTACCCGAGCCTGGGTGACAGAGTGAGACTCCATCTCAAAAGAAGTAATAAATAAAAAAATAAGACATATGGTGTATTCATTAGGAAGAGTGCACCTAATGTTGGCATGACCGTAAAAATGTTCTTAGCAGCCAAGCCATTGCAGACCTTTCTCTCCTGCTCTCTTTTCTGGTCTTCATATGTTTTTATTTCTCAAAAATTCTACCATTATGATCATAGTTGTATTCATCTTCTTGGAGTCAGCCAAATAATCCTTATATTTTGATGAAAGGTAACCTTCACTTCCAGTGTTAAAAAAAGAAAAAAAAAAAACTTTATGTCCTTTCTCAGCAAAAATCAATTTAAAAAAATCTTAATTGTTTCTATATAAAAAAAGAAAGTATTTTCTTACATTTCTTCTTAATTACTTCTGAGAAGAGATTAAAAACCTTTCATTGAAATGATGCTTTGTGCTAAGTGAACAGACTTTACAAATTTAAAATCCATATAAAAGTATGTCCACATTTATGTTATTAAGAGTGAGTTGTGTTGGTAAAGTCAGGACAAAGGCCAGTCATTAGATCTTTGATTCTTTCTTGCAGTGAAGGGAGATGTGAAGAAGCCATGTTCTCTTTATGTGCTGCTTGGAGGGCTCTCTCTGTAGACCGAGGTTGCTGTCACCTAAACCATAGGTGGTGATAAGCATTCTCTAGATTTTGTACTGAACAACATAACAGGATGCTTTTCATGTGGAAAAAAACAATAGTAGTGTGCAATTTGCTTAGCATTTTACATTTGCTCTGGGGCCCATCTTATTGAATCAGAAAGTGGTACAATCTCTAAGTTTAATCAGAATTTAGGACAATAGTTTATTTTTCAAATGAAAAGGTGGCTAAAAATACTACAAACAAAAAGACCAGGGTAGCATTTAAAATGCAAACAGAAGTGCTATGTCATATGTATAATGAAAGGCCTTTAAAGTTTGACATTTAATTTATTTTACTTGTTCAACCTATGCGTATAAAGCGCTTGCTGTGTCCCAGACAATGTTCTAAATCTTAAGTATCAACCCTTTTAATCCTTATACTAACCCAATGACATAGGTACTATCTTATTTTATAGATGAGGAAAATGAGACCCAGAGAAGTCAAGTAATTTGCTCAGCATCACAACAGCTCATCAAAGATGGTTGAACAAGGATTTGCATCAAAAAGTATTGTTCCAGTCGGAGCTCTCTTAACTTCTGTGCTTACTAATGAAGGGGAAACAAGTCAAATAAGTTTTTAAAAACTAACTCATTATTATGAAGAAATTAAAAACGTATAGTTTAAATACAAATGGACAATGAAAACCAAATATCCTCTAAATAGGTAAGAATTAGGAGGGTCCTTAAATATATTACCTCATCAGGTGACTGAGAAGCAGTATAAGGAAATTACAAAGAAATGGGGTTCCATTTCCAGGCGTATTACTGTTGCTGATAAAGCTACTATTTTATGGTCATTATTATTTTCATTTTTTTAAACGTTAGTATTAAAGAGAAACATACCAGTCTCAGTTCACGCGTTAAAATGACAAATGTTAATACACTGACCCTATGAAATAGAAAGGTAAGTACTATCATAACATGGGAGAAACTGAGGACCAAAAAAAAAAAAAAAAGGTCATAGTTCAAGCTATGAACAACTTAGTTCAGGCTATGCAACTCCCTGTTGGTAAAAATTAAATTAGACCCATGTCTCCTGACCTATGGGCTTATATCCTACTCAGTAGATTATTTTGGTTCTTATTTACTGTATTTGATCTTCAGTGTTTCTGTGAACAGGTATTAAGTGCCCATAGATGTCAGGCACTGTCGGCTGGAGTGACCAGCAAAGCAGAACAGGGTGGGCCATTCAGGAAGGAGCGCTAAAGGACAATGATGGGGAGTAATGAAAGCAGGAGCTTACATCAGCAATCAGAGGCAGCATGGAAGGTTCGGAGATAACAAGTCACTTTTCTCCTTCTGGATAGAGTGTTTATTGATGCTGTTCATCTTTTTAAATGATGCCAATGTGATAATACAGTAATTTATATAAATAGAAGCCCTAATTCAAGGTCAGGCGTATCAGCAGGATAAAATTAAATACTTCAGTGTGGAACTGTAGGGGGTTCATCGACCACTTTCAACCTCCTAGTGCCATAGATAAGAATTCTTTGAATTTATACAATAGCAACTGAAATGGGGCAATTTTAAGACATTAAAGGGCCTTTAATATGCTGAGACACATGGCTGCTAATGAAGTTTATCCATGTGTTGAGGCAGAAACTCATTAAACCCCGATTATGGGATGGAAACAAGAATAAGGGTTAAATGTTCAGTTCACGAGGTGGAGAGAGCTGAATAGGAGGAGGGTTTGATAATTTGGATTTAGCATATTTAAGAGCTTAAGAGAAGTTTGTAAAGAATGCCTGATGTAGGTGATGGGGAAGAAGGCAGCAAATCACACTGCCATGTGTGTTCCTATGCAACAATTCTGCATGTTCTTCACATATACCCCAAAACCTAAAATGCAATAAAATAAATAAATGGGAAAAAAAAAGAAAGGGTATGAAATGAGGTGGTGAAAACAATCGTTGGGAGAATTTTCTGATTCAGTAAAATCTTGAAACTTTACCACATGATAATTTAGCAATGCGATAACTCCTAACATTTATGAAGATAAATTAATGTAAACATATATTGGGCAGCATGGCTTAAACTCAGCATATACACAGCAAGCACATTTATTTTATCATTATACTGTGGTAATAAATGTAGGCTTTGTGGGATGCCTATTCCAGATGTCCTTTTAATGGATAATTGGTAGTCATAAAGCAAATAAGTGTGTTGAAATAAGAATGGAGGAGAAAGAAAAATATGAAATTAATGAGTATTTCATAATAAACAATATTTTTGAACACCCACTGTACATACACTAGTCCCTCTCTTATTGCTGAGGACCTTACTTTTCGACACAAAAGCCTGAAATATGGTTTCATAAAATCATTATATTTGGAGCCTGATCTCAAAAGAGAATATAGCCTGGATAGGAATGCGGAGGAACTGGGAGGAAGGGGAAGAGAAAAGAAGAATCTCATTTCAGAAAAGGCAGTCAAAGTAATAGAATTGTATAAATTCTAAGATTTCAAGGGTAGGCCAGTTCTGTTTGATAGAGAAGAAAAAAAGAGGGTCATGAGAAGTCTGTGTAAATGAAAGAATGACATTGAGAAGGCCACGTGTGAACTTTCAGGAAAACTGTTCCCTTTAATAAATAAATAATGTACAGACTCTATTATAATATGAGTGTGAATTACCATAATGATCATGGCTATCCTGTATATATAATAAAGGAAGGTTTGAGGAAAGTTAAGTGGAGATTTGTAAAGAGTGAAGGCTAAGGTGACGTTATAAGAATTGATGGTAGGCAGGAATTTTCTGTCTCCTAAAGTTGAAACCATAATGTAGTGATTGTGTTTGAATTAGGGAGGGAAAAAAACAGAGTTTAAGAAACTCATGTATAGTTTTTTTAAACAAGTTTGTTTTGAATGATCTTCTTTTTAAAAAAGTTAAAATATAAGGACAGATGAAAAATAATTGTTAAATGACCTTTCCTTGAAAAATATCCAGCTTGAATATAGTAGAAATTACAGTTGAAACCTTGATAACAGATCATCAGGAAACAAACTTTTTGTATAAGGAAGTTAGTTCCGATGAGGAAACGCAGCTGTTTGGGAATCTGGTCCACCATGAGCAGAATGTATCACATGACACTAAGCTCTGCTAGACTACTCCTGTACCAAATGGAGAATGCCTAACCCTTTCCTGGCAGGTAGTTTGATTTGTCTTTACCCTGATGGAGTTAAACTGGATGGCCCTGGACAAACGTGTCTTCTAAAATATGGGTTTTTTCTTCTGCATTCCCCACCTGAGTACCTAATAGCTAATCCCTTCCTGTACCCTGTCACTTTCTGCCTTTGCAGCCTTCCTCTGTCCCTCACAGCAGAAAGGATCTGGTAGCAATACACTGTAGACTGTTGTGGTCAGTGGATTATATATCCATCCACCGCTGTATAACACTTTAATCTTCTATTAGTTTTTTAACCTTCAGTTATGGGAGACTTAATAGAATTTCAGGAGTCTATAAACAGGTAGGGAGACATGATGGGGGAGGGTTGGGAACTGGGATGGCATTCCCCACTCCACTCCATCCCCATGCCATCTACCCCTCCTCTGCTACTGGATTTTCTACATTTTCTAAAAGTGGCATCTTTTCAACAATTTGTTAAAGTAATGTATTGACATGATATTATTAAGCTAAATGTTGTGTAAGGCAAGATCACTTAAAATAATTAAAAGTTGGTGACTTTTTAATGTACTGGTTACTCAGCCAACCACTGGTGGAATTACTCCTCATTCCTCAATGTACCCATGTTCATGTAGTTACCAATGTCGCTTATATAATAGAGGTGAAAGCACATAAATTATTTAAGGATGTCTGAAGTGAGAATAAGGTTAGCATTATCTGTCCCATACGTCTGTTTGCCCTACGTTCTCCTTCAACACGTATGTGTATGGAGCTAGGTGAGCTGGGCACTGACCCAGGATTGGACCCCATAATCTTTTAGGGGAGGGAAGATCAGAATGCCCCATTGCTTGTTCCTTATGGAGCCTCAGTCCAGCTTTGTCCTAAACCAAGCTTCCTTGGCAGACCCCCTTCTTTTTGCACCTCACATCATTTTTTTTTCCCTTTAAAAGTCATCTGCATTCACAGAAGACCCCTTTTATTTTGTTTGCAAAAATAAAATGCATTTACAGTTTAAAACTTTTATATTCTAAACTACCCATCTGATATTCTAAAGGTAGACTTCTTTTGTTGTTTCTGCCTTCAAAATGTATTCTGTTTCCATTACTATAACATTTAATCTATGGAATTCAGTAAAGTGGTACATACTGTTTTCAGGCAAATAGTGTAAAAATATGTTTTAATCTCAACTTTGTTGGGCTATCACAGTTTTATCTGTTTCACTAGGTGAGCTAAAGATGATAAAAGCTATCAGTCATTTTGTTGCAGGCAGGAAACCAGAAGCCATCCTTAGCTGAGAAAGAAGTTGACTTCTATGGTAGAGTATTGCCTAGATAGGTGTCTTGGGGTATCGAATATCTTTCTCTGAAGCCCTTGCTGTTTTCCTAGCAGGGATGTTTTGTAATAAGGACTGTAGTTTGTTCTACTGTTGAAGCCAGTGTTAAATGTGAGTGGTTCTAGGAGTCTAGTAGATGCCCTAAAAAATGTAGGATTCTATCATCTGTGTCCTAATGAATACAACCAAGAAAAAGCTGGACTCTGGTACGTATTCGAATCTAGAAGAGCAGCAAGATATGGTAGGAAATATTTTAGAATGACTGTGCAGTAGTCCTGTTTAAAAGTTTTCTGTCTTCATTTTGTGTGTTTGTGTAGTTTAATGTCAACTCATGGAATTTGTTGCTTGGCTGTGAACTTGTAACGTGGTGTTTTGAATCCCCTTATTATGGGATATGCAACATCCTTCATCTGTACTCAACTTCTTTTGCGAAAGGAAATAATGATTTCCTCATATTGAATTCTCAATTGGTCATGAGCTTGTTGAAGCTAGTATTGGTATTTTTAAAAGAGCAACAAAAGATACATCTCCCTTCCTTGATATAGGTAATAAGACATTTTATGTTCCTAGTGTTCAGGAGAGTGTGTCAGAAAATCAATATGAATAAATTCAAGTACACAGAGGATTCATCCTGTTTGAAAATGTAATGTGTGGCAAAATGATGGTATGTATTAAATTTTTTGTTTCATTTGCATGTAAATATTAGCATTTAGAAAAGGTATCATAGGCTACTTTTAAATTTAGGCAGAGGGCAATTCGCTGGCTTTTTTTTATTCTTTGTTGTTGTTGTTTAGTGTCTCCACGCTTACAGCTAAACTGAATTTGAAACTAAATACTGTCATTACAGAAGATTTTTCCTGAGTTCTTCCAATTTCTCTGGGGACAAAATAATGGTCGCTGGAAGCAGTGGAGAAACAGTAATTAGGGCAAATAGTAATACTGTGCATGATTGAGGAAAATGTGAGAAAGGGAGGGAGAAAATGCAACAGACAGACTTGTACAGCTTGTTACTAGGAAACCACATCAGCATTAAATACAGTGTGCTAATTGGCTATCCTGTTTCTTCCTGGGTACCAGCCTGGGCCTGCTACACAGCTGTTTCTGCTCTTTCTGGTTGCTAGGTAACTGCATCATTTCCCCCCACCCCTCTTTGTATTCTGGAGGGTAATTGGCTACTTCTGCTCCTGGTGTTGCTGCTGGGTACCAGTCTGGGCCTGCTGCTTTGCTGTTTTCCAGAGGGATTTAGTCGGGGGAAGGGGAGGAAAAGGGAGAGGAAGATATGCTGGCAATTAATGGAGCATAAGTGCAAATTCTACACAATGTCTGGCACCTGCGGCCCCTCATCCTGCCTTCTCAACTAAATCCTTTAGCTGTGGAAACACATTAAAGTCTTTAAGTCTTTCTTTCTCTGCATAACTTATAAATATAGTTTAAAGGAACCAAGACATTTGAAGACATCACTTAAATGACAGATTTGGTCTTCTTCATGAAAAAAAAAAAAACCTGACAAAATATTATATACCTATATTTTGATACAAGTAGTAATAGAATTTGTGCAGATACTAAACATACTTTACAACAAGACAGCATTTTTAACATCTTAAGGGTACTGCCATTTTATTTCTTAAATGGACCAGATTATTTTGTAGCCATTCTTCTTGATATCAGAACATGAAGTAGTAAATAGAATGGACTAAACACATTATGGGATTTTCCTGACTGTTTTATTATGAAGGAGTAAAAGGAGGCTTCTAGATCCTTGACTTTCCTATTATGGGTTTTATTCCTTTGATGTGCACAGCACATGTCCTGGTGTTTTTCAGTGGGACGTTGCATTTACATGGCAATAACACATTTTGCATCATAGCTGCTTTCCTGATGGCAAATGAAGAAATGTGATGCAAAATCTGAAATCAATTTTGTGATTGAGAAAACAAATAAAAAGGTAATTACTTTACATATAGTTGTCATCTCCTGTTGAAGTAGAAGTTTCCATTTCATCATGATTGAAATTCTCACTGGAAGTGTGACGGGGAAGATTCTTCAGAAGTGAAGTCATGCTCCAAGGAGATTTTACTTTAAATCGTTGAGAAAGTGTATGGAAATTGGGGCCCCCTTGAAGAGGCAGCTTTATTCCCCTGGGAAGGAGCTGTTTTATTGAGAAAACTCAGTGCATGTTGTGTGACTGTGCACAGAAATAGTTAGCAAAGACAACCTTATTTGACACTAATGGCTGTTACTGGTTTGCCATACTAATGAGACCCACCATACCCTATCACAATTGAAGCAGGAGGAGGCCTAGGCTGAGCTACAAGCCCTTCTACCATAAGATAAATTCAGGCTTTAGGGAATCATTTCTACTTAAAGTACCCTTAACATAAGCAGAAGGCCTCCAACTAGGCCAGGATGATCGGGAGAAGATCGCAGTGTTAACACCTATCTAAAGGAAACCAGCTAGCCATCAGTAGCATTCAGTATTGCAAAAGAAAATCATCTTATCAGAGGACATCTTACAGACCAAGTGTAATATTATTTCTGCTACCTCTGTTAAAAGGACCAGTTGTTAATCACTCAAATGCATTTGCCCATTAAATGATTTAGCCATTTACTTATGAAAAACCATCTGAAGTCAGAATATCTTTTTATCACTTGACAAGTTGTATATTCTGACTTTGGGAGGGGGGTGGTTTTGTTTGAGTGTTTCATCTTCGTTGACAGCAGATTGTCAGAGTAGCAACTTTGCAAGTATGTTATGGATTGTCCCTATTTGACTTAAGCAGGTTATAGATTGAAAAGTCCAAAGAAGTCTGGTGAGTTTATCTCACCCAGCCATCTTCTTCACTGGTTGATTGGATGTGGTTACACAGCCTCATTGTGGCTCTGGCAAGACCCTGGAAACCCAAGGTAGGGGGCTTTGAAGGCTGAAGGTGGTCATGGTTAGAACATCAGTGCATACTTCTGAGCTTCCTCTCGTTGTACTCTTCTGGGAGAGCAGATCTTCTTTCTTTTGATGTCTCCATGTTTAAAGCAATAGTGAGAGTGCAGACATACAAGCAAGCATGCTTTGGGGAATGAAGAAAGGAGGAGCTGCTTCAACACCTGGCTCTCCTCAGTCCTGAAAACCTGCTTTACTAATTCTCATGGCCACACAAAGCTGCTACCTTTGACATCAAGTAAACCGGTTGACAAAATTGGAAAAGAAGAATCGTTTCCAAGACTAGCTGGCTGCTAGTCTCCCAGCAGGGCTGCTGCTAAACTATAATATGCTTTTGTATGAATTAGAAAAAGGTTCCCTTTGCATGGGGCAGTTACCCTGTGCTTGAGGAGCAGAGCCGGATTCAGCCCCCCTCAGACTGTAACTGGACACCTTGTGCTCAAAACCTTATGTGGCCTGTGCTCTCTGGGAGAGCACTCCACACAGATGGGCCTTCCCTGAACTTTTAAGATCTGCTGAAGCCAATAGGGGCATAACAGGAATGGGAAAGTCACACAATGGTTTAAGAACGTTATTGGGACATCCTATCAATGTCTGAAGAGGCCATTATGTATGAGAGCAAATCTTTTGGTCCAGCCACTCTCCCAAAATCTGAGAGCATTCATTAGTTGCCTAATGCAGTGGTTCTCAACCAGGGGAGATTGTGTCCCTCAGGGAACATTTAGCAGTGTTTGGAGACATTTTTCATTGTCATATCTGGGGTTGGGGGTATGCTACTGGCATCTGGGAAGTGGAGGACAGGGATACTGCCAAGTATCCTACAATGCCCAGAACAAACCCTGAAGCAAAGGATCATATGGGCCTGAGGGTCAACAGTGCCAAGGTTGAGAAACCCTGGCCTAATGCAACCTTAGTTGTCCTCTTTCCCCGTAGGTTGCACTGAACCACTTGCAAAACATTTCCTTATCCTTCTAAGACTACCCACCAGATCTTGCCTTCTTCCCTTTTATGATCTTTAACAATATTGACTAAACGGAAATACTGCATTATTTATTATTTCTGTCAGGACTTAGATGATGTGCCACTTTTCCCCTTAGGATAAGAAAGGAGTCTTCCTGCCTCCACTAAATGCTTAACTCCCTAGATTGAAGATTCGTGATTGTGACCCTTCACGAGCCTCATGCCCTCCCCTTTTGCAGAAGGCGCCTGACCTGTAATAATCTGAAATTTTACTGAGGCAGTGGTTTGATCACATCAGCTGCCAGGCTGGTGTGTGGTAGGGAGTTGTTTTGCCAGGAAATGCGTCTAGCTGACTGGGTGCTGACGAGCCACATCATTGTCATTCTCTACCTGTTTTCTCCAGTACCGTAGCCTTGCTGAAATGTAACAGTTGTTTCCTCGTTATCAAAAAAAAAGATTAACTGTTCTTGAAGAAATAAGAGTGACGTGTTTTCTCTGGGAAACTTTTATTGGGAAAACTGTATATTGTGCTGATATTTGCTATTTCCGTGCATTTCCTACTATTCACCATTCTGGTTTGCACCAGCACCATGAGGAACATACTGGAAGCTTTTTGAGTTCTTAGGAAGAATGGTGCTATTTCAGGGGAAAGGATTTAAATAGCTTTATCTAATGGACACTTACTTTATGTCTGCATTTTCTTGGGAACTGTGAATTATGCATTGGCCCTTTGAGCTACATTCACGTGCATAGAAAATAACATTGTCAGACGTGTCATCCCCAGATACAATGGACAATATGCTATTATAATTGTATGGCATTGTCCTTACTGTTTGGAGATAATACTGCTGACTTTATTCCTCTCATACGTGTGAAAGTGGCTGTGGGGAATACGTGACATCTGTGGCTTTTACATATATTAGCTTATCCCTTGCCACTTGGAGAGATTGCCATTAGTGAGCTGGCCTCGTGGGGTCATGCTAAGTGCCATGTTTTGGATCACTGTTGTTATCGGACCTTAGTTTTAGACCCAGTAGGGAATTAGTAATATTTATCTTGATGACCTGAAGATGCAGTGAGTTATTTAGTCAGCTTCCCAGAGCAGATGTGCTAAAGCAATTGCGTAGGCAGAGGCATTCGTACTCATTGGCTTTGGGAGTGAAAAGCAATTGGGAACCAAGCCTGGGAATGGCTGCTCCATGTTAGTGCATTACCCAAGTAAGCAATAATAATATCACTTGTATTGATCTTTACAGTTGCCAAGTGTTTCATATACATCCTTCCATTTAACCTTCACTTACGGGGTAAATCTTTTCATTATACCCATTGTACAAATGAGGGAACTGAGGCTCAAAGAATCATTTTTCAAAGGCTTCACTGCTGAACAATCACAGAGCCTGCCTTACTCTGTTTTTTCTTTAGAGATCAGTTATTTATTTTGGGGGCTAAGTTAAACAGAATATAAATTATTTTAGTTTTGTTTATGATTCAGAAAAATAAATGGCTTAATATTTGTTGTTATTTTACTTGCTCAGTATGACTACAAATTCAGGATAACTAAGAAAACTGAGTGATTATCTTATATATTCCTACATTGTCTGTTTTGGTTGAACTTAAGAATCCTTGATCTTAGTTGGTTTTCCCCTATTTTAACGAAGAAAGTTTTGAAGGCGCAAACAAATGCAAGGTATTCATTCTTGAAGTGATGTCTCAGTACTAGTGCATTTGTATATTTTAGATAATTCATGATGAGAAACAGTAAATAGAAACTTTTCTCTGAACCCCTGGAAAGAATGCACCTTAGCAATCCTCTTTATTACTAAGCTAAAAATCCAAATGGAAATGCCTTAAAGAGGTTGAAGGAAGTTATGGATGGGTGGATCTTGGTCTGTAAGTTGTATGCTTCTCTCAGTTACACCAGAGCTTTGCTAGATGAGGCTGAAGAAATGAGTTCTGTGCCTTTATTTTGGTTTGTATGGTAAGTGTGGAGCTAAGGATAATTTTATTTTATTTTTGTTTTTGCCCAGTTATTTGAGGATATGTATAGAGGGGTTAGAAGTCTTAAGAATAAAAATCCTTGGTAAATACAGGAATTGTAAGTCTACTAATGGGCAAAGATCCCAAACTCAGGTTATGATTTTGCTTGAGATATGCAGCAGTCTCTCCTCTGAATTCAGAAAAGCACACAGTGAAGAAGAATAGCTGCTTTCTAGCCTTCTGCCAAAAGGAGCTACAGGAACCTCAGAGTGATGGGCACTTATATTATCTTCCAGAGATCTGAAGAAAGAAAAGATATTAATACTAAAAGACAAATATCTGAAAGGCAGAAGGAATAACAGACGTTACCCCGAGGGTTACACTCTTTTAAGGATTGTTTGTCTGTAGGTATTTTTGTGTGTGATCCTGTATTCCTGTACATCTTTGTATTTTCAAACTTCCCCTTTTTATTTCATTCTACCTGCCATGGAAATAACCTTAATAAATTGTTACAGTTGACGGGCCCTGGACCCGATTTGATAATAGCCTTTTCCTTGCTTATAATTGGCTGCTAAGCATTTAGAATGCTTTCTAACCCACCTGTGTATCTTTTTCCCCCTCCCTCTGTCAGATCTTAAACGTTTTCTTGTGGTTTTCCTGGTGTGCATCTTATACAAAAAGAATAGTCAATGAGCAAATCCAGAAAGTGGAAAGAATCCTTTGCAGCCAGGGAAAACTTTTCATACACCGTTCCCACTCCTGTCATTGTATGAGCTACAGGGACCACAGGTACAAAACGTATAGGATCAATTACCAAAGGCTCACCGTTAAGCGTTTTTTTAAAAAGCTGTTGCAAGAAGAATAAAGCAATAATTAAAAATAACTGAATAGCTTTTGCTCTATTGAGGCATTAAATCTTTGTGTAAATACAATCACATTGTGCAAACATAGGTCTTTGTAGTTGGGTGATTTAGACAGCGAACCCACTGAAGTTTTGAGGTCTCTGGGTCAAGGGCCCGTTTTGACGTGGTTTGAAAGGTCACCTGCTCATTTGTGTCTGTGTTCTGCTGCAGAGAGAACTGTAAGCTGGAATGGTTCCTTGCCCACTGCAGCACAAAGAAGAGCTGGTTGGCATTTGGCAGATAGCGGTCTGTGACGAGGGGGAACTAAACTGCACACAAAGCAAGACGGCTGCACACAGGAGCCAGTGGGGAGTGCTTGGGAACCTCTGGGGCCCAGGCAATGAAGCGGCTTGAAGGTGGAGAAAACAGCAGTTATAAAATATAAATGTGTTTATTATTACATTGGGCCTATGCTATATAATTTTACACACACTCATATTTGTGATTTATGGCCACAGCTCCATATGGAGGAGAAGCTTGCTAATTTTCCCAAATTGATAGGGATGCCACTGAAGATGATCAAATTGGTAGGAGCAGTAGCTGAGAAAAAGTGGTCTCCTAAAACAACCAAAAAAGCGGGGGAGGGAGAGGACTACTGTGTCAGAGGCATCCTTTGTTCATTTATTTTGATACGCAGAGCTTGGCTTTAATTATTCATGATAATGCTTGCCCTGGGAGGAGCAGGCCTCTGATGCCACAGCAGCCATGGGGTGGTGTTTAGTTCCCTGTGTAGTTAACACCAGAACAACCTGCCTAGCCTTTACTGAGATGTGTTATGCTTTCACCTGTGAGAGGTGAGATGACCTGAAGTTTTGTTTATACCCGATATCCATTCCAAAGGGACAGGTATTGACTTGGCTGGCGTGGAAGAGAAAGCCTGAGTGATAACAGCCATTTCATGAAATCCTTACAAGGTAGGTGGTGATTTTCACATCTTAGGCATGAGCACTTGGAACCCTAGAGGAGCCCAGGAGTAGATACACCCAACACGTAAGTGACCAAGCTGGCTTTTAAGTTTGGGTCTGACTCCAAAGCCTGTCCCCCGCAGCATTATGCTGGGATTTCCTAGAGAACAGGCCAAGAAAGGGACACTGGAGCCGACCCCACCCTTCTTCCACCGCAATCCATCCCACTTGCTGTGCTTTCAGCCTGTTTCCCAGTCTTAGCACCAATTACCATCATTTCTGACAGCTTTTCTAAGTGTTTTTTGACTTGGCAAAATCTTGAGGCACTTCTGGTAGCTCTTCAGAAGGAAAGCACTTTGGAACAGCATGCACTAGTTCCAAAATCCCCAGAGCATCTATGATTCATGCTTCTTGTAGGGGAACTTCATGGAGACAGGCTGGTATGACCCTAGGATACTTGATAGACCTTTTTTTGTACATGCATTAATACCAGACGATGAATGCTGAAATGTCACGTCCACTCAGCTCATAGCAAAATCCTGGGAGGCATCCCTGATACAGGCCCTTTTAATCAATGTTTTGTTTTTTTTTATTTTAATCTCATGGGCACTACTTTCTAAATATGATTTACATTGTTTGCTTTTTTCCATCTCTGGTGCTATAAGCACTGTTTCAGCCACTGTCATCTTTCTTCTTCTAGAACTCTCCCCACATTGGCTCATTGCCTTTGTCAACCCATTCTCCATTTTGTAGCCAAAGTAAGATTTTAAAATTCATTTCTGATCATGTTATGTCTCTGTTTAAAAGCTCACAATGGCTGCCATTGTTCTTAAAGTACAGATTATTTAACATGATCCCTAAGACCGCTTTCCAATAGAAATGTAACGTGAGCCACATATATAATTTTATATTTTCTAGCAGGCACATTTAAAAAGTAATTAATTGTACTAATTAGTTCTAATACTGTATTTTATTTAGCTCAAGATATCCAAAACATTATCATTTCAGCATGTAAATAATTGATAAAAATTATTAATGAGCGATTTTACATTTCTTTATCTCTTTTTTCTATTGGAAAGCCTTCAAAATCTGGTGCATTTTTACACTTAGAGCACATTCAGTTCAGATTGGCCACATTTTGGGTGCTCAGGAGCCACCTGTGCTGGTATCTAGGAGACCGGACCATGCAGGGCTGTTTAAATGCTTTCACAGCCTGGCCACTACCTGTTCTCTGTCCCTGTAGAACACACAAACTGATACTCCTCTTTGATCAGCTTCCTGGCGAGGTGTGGGAGAGAATGTAGCAGAGGGATGAGAGGACCTCATCCCTGCTAGTGAGCTGGAGAGAACAGCCCAATACAGAGCCCTCTCTGTTCTACCCTTCTGCAGGGCTTTCTGGCGCAGCAAATGGGATGGACTATGATGGAAGAAGGGTGGGGTCTTGTGCTCCTGTGTCCCTTTCTTGGCTTCCTTCCTAGGAAATCCTAGCATGAGGCTGTAGGAAAACAGGCTTTGGAGTCAGACCCAGACTTAAAAGTCAGCTCAGCCACTTACTAGCTGGGTGTCTATCCCTGGGCTTCCGTGTTCTCATCCCTAAGATGGAAAAATCACCACCTACCTTGAAAGGTTTCTGTGAAGTAGCACAGGTAAAGCACCATCGGGCTGCCTGACATGTAAAGAACATGCCAAGAACAGGGATTTTATTACCTGGTGTTTCTTCACTCCAGCCCAGTCAGCACCTACCCCTCAGAAAGGGGCGGCAGATAGAAGCAGATGAAGCTGCAGCTCATCTCACAATGAAGTGCAGGTTAAAAATGAAATCCGGCAGGGCACAGTGGCTCATGCCTGTAATCCCAGCACTTTGGGAGACCAAGGCAGGTGGATCGTCTGAGGTCAGGAGTTCGAGACCAGCCTGGCCAGCATGGTAAAACCTGTCTCTACTAAAAATACTAAAATTAGCCGGGCATGGTGGTGGGCGCCTGTAGTCCCAGCTACTTGGGAGGCTGAGGCAGGAGAATCGCTTGAGCCCGAGAGATGGAGGCTGCAGTTGAGCTGAGGTCGTGCCATTACACCCCAGCCTGTGCAACAGAGTGAAACTCCGTCTCAAAAAAAAAAAAAAAAAAGAATGAAATCCTTCCTCTGCTGTTGGCCTTGGGGGTTTCCATTTTGGGTTTATGTGGAAATTTTAGGTGACACAGATGTTTTCTGAGAAGGTAAGAGAATGAAATGAAAAAATGCTGGTAAGTTAATATCAGGTATTCTCTGAAGAAAAAATTTTCTACCCACACTAAGGTCTAGTAGTCAGTAGTACCATCCTGTGAGCTGAAAATGAGACCAGGGGTTCTAGGGAAGGGCAAATGAGTTGTAGTTCACACCCCTGGCTTCCCATCTCCGTAGATTCTATTCCATTGCTGATTCATTTTTAAAAACTTAGAACAGCTATTATATACATGCATCTAAATAGTTCTGACATTCTTTCCAGTTGAAACATTTGTTTTATCAGAAAATATTTCCAAAGGGAATATGAGTATTGATCCTACTTTAATTATTGTTGCTTATATAAAAGGCAGAGTGAGGCAGTGGTTAAGCATGTGGATTCTGAAGGTAAGATGGCCTGAGTTTCATTCTTGACTGTACCACATGTAAGTTGGGTGAACTTAAAACAGCTTAGTTTCTCCAGCCCTCTATTTCCTCATCTAGAAAGGATAATAGCAATAGGGCTATTGAGAGAATTAGAGATCAGAATATACGTAAGGCCCTTAGGTTCTGTAGTGCCCAGAACCTAATTATTAGCCAACAGCCCATTGTACTAGGATCTAAAACCCACTATCCCCCATTGAAAAATGGGTGGAATTGGACCACAAGTCTTGGCTGATGATGATGATTTGAGGTGTTTTCTCTGCAGAGAGGCATGTATTGTCTGGTTTGTTTATGTACCTTTCTCCTACATTTAGTTTTCTACTATATGTATATCTACATGAGGAAGGAAAATATAGACATCTCATCAGGGAGTGATTCTGCCTTTCATATATTCATATATCCAAAAGAAAAAGCCAAATACCTTTCAGCAGATGAGATATGAGATGTGGTAAGATAAGCACCATATTTTAGTAGTATATGGGCTTTGGGCAGTTTCTCTCCATGTGATATTGGGTTTATACTGTTTGGTTGAAACCCCTTGGCTTTCTAATCAATGGCACATTGTAAGTTGAGGAGTTGGGGCTTGAGGTCTTATCTTTGATGGTGGAATGAAACACCAGCCTCCAGAGGTGGTCTGCTCCTGACATCTCCTGACGTCTCAAATTGATCTCTAACCATCTTAGCTAGAACAGGTGATTGCAGGCTCTTTATTCACCAGGAAGGTACATTCAGGTACTGGGTGTTAATATGAGTCACATTGCATAAAGAAGGATTTTGGGGTAAAATATTTTAATAATCACCCTGCCTGTATAGTGCTTTGCAGCATATTAAGCACTTGCACAGAAATCATCTCTCTTCACACTTCACAATAGCCCTGTGAGGCCTGTGCCAAAGAAGAGATAAGCTCTGTTTTGCAGAGATGGAAAGTGAGACTCAAAGAGTTGGTAACTTTCCTGAGGGCACATCATAAGTGGTAATAGCTAGGACTAGAGCACAGGTCCCCTGATGGTGAATTGTGTGTGTGTCTGTTTTCCAGTAAACTGTACTTGTACACATGGGGCACCATCTCCAGAAACTCTGACACCCTTTCTGGAGAAAAGAAGTGAGATTGCTTTTTTTTCATTTATGCTATGCTTTGAATTAATTAGATCATAAATGAAGCTTTTGTGACAAAGACTCAAGCTAACAGAAGCTTAAAGATGTAAGACTTTTCTCTTTAATATAAA